CAGCTCGGGTGCTTGCGGGGCTTTAAATCCCAGGGTTCAAAGGCCTCTGGGTACGGGGCTCTGTTAGGAAGAGGGGGGACGCGGGGTTTCGCAGGGGCTGTCGCTGGGTCGGGTCGGTCGCTGGGTCGGGTCTGTCGGCTCCGCAGGTACGCGGTGCGTTTCGTCATCCAGCGGTGGACGCCGAGCGAGCGTCAGCACGGTGCGCGCACACCGGGACACGATGGTGGCTTTGGGTCTTCGGCATTTATTAGTGTTTAATGCGTTGTGGATTCGCTGCGGTGGGCTGATAGCGGGGTACTTTATTCCTCGCTAATGTCTGCGGTTCCCTCTGCGATGCTTTGGTTCGTGCTGTGCACCACAGTCGAAGCAGGTATCAGCTGAGTAACTGGTGCTGCAAAGCACTGTTCAACGTGCAAAGCTGAGCGTTGGTTGTGCAGATAGCAGAGGAGCTGAAGCGTGTGAGGATCTCTTGCATATTCGTGGGTGAATTCACATTATCCCCACTGTGAGGGTTGGAGAATATACTGCTGGCAGCTGAAGAACAAAGTTATTCAACGATTTGCCTCAAATCACATAGGAAGTACGTGATATCACTAAAAAATGAACAGTAGTTCAGAGCATTAGTAACAACTGGTCTGAGCTGCTGCTGGCTGCAAAGACGATACTAAGGGATAATAAGGTCTGGATCCTACTTATACTGATGTGATCTCTGGGAAGCAAATGATGGTAGCCAATGTCTTGCGGATATATAGGCCTTTGAGAAACAAGTTAATCACTTCCTAAAGTCACCTGGAGTCCTGTTTGTCTACCCTGAGCTTTATTTTTCTTTAAACTTTCTCTAACGAGAAAGTAGCTCTTTGCTCTTTCTATTGCTGGATAATTTAAAAAGTTAATGCCATGTAACTTAGAACTTGTGAGGAGTTGCGTGTTAAAAGTGTTTTGGTTAGCCCTTTAATGTATTTGTAATACTTCAGCATTTAATAATCATTAGCAAACCCCATTTATTTAGAAAGGATTTAAAAGCGTTGGTCGAGATGGGACAGATTTGAACGCACAAAGAGTCAGAGGGAGTAAAGCCAGTTCAGCAGCACAACTGAGCGTGCTGCTCTGCAGCACGGGAGCTGCCAGGCTTGTCCCGGTCCCCGTACTCCCCTGGCTTCGACTGGAGTGTCTGTCTTGTCCCCTTGTGCAGGTACTGGCACCTGTGTGCTGGTGCAATGAGCTAGTTCAGGAAGCTGATCCGGCTGAAAACTAATTTGCTGCAGGACAAAGTGACCAGATAGCTCCCAAGACTGGTTCACTGTGCAATCGCCCGAGCGATGGGGCTGACGCAAGAGCACAGGCTTGCTCCTGCGACTGTAGCAATTCCTGTTTAGATCTAGACACGCTGCTGTGGAACTTCATCCCAAGGCTGGACTTTAAGCTGGCATGGTTGTAGGAAGAAGCAATGCTTCCTGCCTTGGTCCTGCCCCCATGCTGCTCCCTTCCTTTCCTTGGCAGAGCTCCCTGAAGGGTGTGTTTCAGAAAAGCTGGATGCAGCTGTAAGATGTTGTGGGGATTTTTGTCTGGGTTATTTTCTCCAGGGTATGTTAAGTTCCATTTACCCAGTTGACTCCACAGCTGCACAAGTGCTCGGGCACCTGTGAAGGAGAGGGTGGTGTACAGGCAGGAATGAGTAGTTGTTGTTGGGAGAAGGTGGATCTTCTCCTTTAACTCAGCTGGCTGATGCTGGTTCCAGGTGTTTGTCAGACTACGCCCTTGTGCTTCAGGCATGCAGTGTTTGACATGTGAAGCTTTTCTGCCAGATGTTTGTTTCCACTGCTGTGCTCAGTATGCAGTTCCCCTCGTTTTACCTATGCCATTGTTTGCGGAGTCTGCTGCAAACTGGATTGTTGAGCTGATTGTGGTTAAAAATAACTCCTTTTTATCTTGTTGTTTGCTCAGGAACCTGCAGTTAAGGACAGTAAAGAGACAGAAGTAGGGCAAGAAGTACAGAGTGGGATTTTTTTCGTGCCAAAAATGGCTCTAAAACCAAAATGGGATAGTGTAACTACAGTCAGAGGAGAAGCAAGAGAAACTAACCTTGCTGTGCCAAAGTGCTTGAATTTAGCAGGCTAGTAAGTGAACTTAAATCCCCAAGAATACCCTTTCATTTGATATGTCAATTGCTTTACAGTTTAATTGCTGTTGATTTACATATAGCAGGATATTAGCTGGAAATCTGTGCTAACCAGCATCTATTGTAGCATTATGTAAACATACATGCAAATGAGAGAACAAAAGTTTTAATCTACCTTGCCTTGTTAAAGCGAATGTTTCAAAGGGACCTCATAGCTAATTTTTAATGTTGTTTTTTCTTAGTTGCATCTGTGGAGAAGCCTGTGGAAACTAAAATGGGAGTGTCCAAGACTGGAGCAAGATGTATCTAGGTATAGAAAATGCACCAAATTAGCATGATCTCATTTGATTTTTAGGCACCTGAGTCTGAGTCAGTTATACTAACACAAGAGAGAGAAGATTCAAGCACAAGCAATTTTTCATGAGTTCAGATGACTCTTGAATGGATTCATGTGACATCAGCAGGCTTAACTTGATTTGAAAGCCGTAACGTGTTAGCTATGCAAATAGATGTGAAACATCACTTAAATATTTTTGGCTTCTCCTTTATGAAGTACCTCTGCAGTTCCTGTACCTAATCTGAAATTAGCTGTGCTTTTGGGGTGATACGTTTCCAGCATTCCCTGTTAATATCCTACAGTAGCTAGACCACTTGAGCGTTTTCAGAATAGCGATGTGTGTTGGAATTCCTCCTGCAGAGGTTATGTCATGATAAGCAGTATTTCTTTCCACAGTTAGCACTGCCTTTTAATCTCGCCCCATTTCAGATACAAACTCATGATTTTTTTTGATATCTCTTGCTGTACTTTTTTGGGTATCTCAGTTTCAGCCAGTGCACAGCTGCCAACTTCATCTGCAAATTGGCTTTTCATCTTCAATATTTTGAAGGTCATATAGAAAAATTTAAAGGACAGAAAGCGATACTGAATATTTGAGAACTCTGTTTAAAAGGAAATGTGTTTTCTGAGTGTGCCTGTGCCTGTGAAAATAACATACATGTGAATGAGTGTTGTTTTAGCCTGGAATCTTTCACAGATCCTAAAAAATGGCTAAATGAAAAG